CCGCTGCCGATGGGGAATGTGTGGCTGTGCCTGTGTGCATTTTAGAGTTCAAGTTCAAGAATTAGAATTTGCTCTCACAAGCACACACAAACTCATACCAACACAGCATGGCCAAGTGCACGTACACCGGTGGCCAGGCTAGCTGATCTGCCGCCGTCTGTCTAGTTTTGCTTTCTATTTTGTTGCCTCTCTCAGAGAGCGCAGCGCATAGACTAAAACTAGCGTTAGTTTCTCTTTGCCATTGCCATTGCCATTGCCTTGCTGTTGTTGCTGTTGCTGGGGAGAGGCAAAAGTAATCCATGTCAGTAGAACACTTTCGATTTTTATTTGTCTTTTCTTTTTTTTTTCTTGCGCGTCGCGTGGCGCCTATTTAATTATTTTTGTGCTTTTATTTTCTGCGCCATTTACAGTGCGGGCGAAGCAGGCATAACGGTCTGCCTGCTAGACTCTTTTTGGAGATAGTCAATTTTTTGATTAGTTTAATTTTTTAATTTGATTTTCCCCGACTTTCACTTGGTTTTAAAAAGGGGCGTTGCCTGCGTTTTGTGCTTTTTCATTTCACAAGAATTTTTCACTCAGTTTTTTTTCTGGCTTATACGACTTTTGATCCGCTGCTGCTGCTGCTCCGATCCGATCCGTGTTCCGATCTTGACACTTTCACAGTTTTGGTTTTAATAAACCCGAGTACGAAGTGATTTTATGCTTTTATACTCTCGAGCAGCGAGGCGATGTTCGCTGGCAGAGCAGTCGCCGCCGTTGGCTTCAATGGCCGCCATACGTATACGCAATGGCGGCGGCACACCAGCAGCTGCATCTGTGTGTGTTCCAATGTGCGTTTGTGTGTGTGTGTGTGTGTGTGTGGTGTGAGGATCGCTGTTTCATTTTATTATTTTGTTTGACTTTTTTTTATACGAGTATTCCAGAAAAAAGTAAAGCGAACGAAACGAAACGACAACAGAATGAACATTTTGCATCTTTCGATCGTCGCTTATATACATATTGGCCATGGCAGTGGCAGCGACAGCGCTGCCCACACACACACACACACACAATCTTGGGAGTGTACGGTACGGGACTTGAATATGAGTTACTTTGAGCATCGTTCTGCGGTTCTCTTTAGCCTCTGTTTGCCTCTTTTTGGGACTGAATTCGTCTGGCTCTGTTCTTTGTTTTTGCGACACACACACAGCTCTTCCTGCAGCCTGTGCTGCCGCCGCCCACTCCCCAACACAGATCCCCCCCTCCCCCAGCCAACTCATTTGCCAGACGTGTCTTGCTTCTCTTTCTTGCTTGGTTAACTTTTTTGCTATTGGGTGTTGTCTGCCTTGTTCTGTTTTTGCTGCGCTCGCTCTCCCGCTTTCGTCCCACTCTCCGCTCGCGGAGAGCGCAAATTAAGTCCGAGTCATTAAACCGTTCAACTAAAAAATAACGTGGCATCTGAGAGGATCCTGAAAAGGAGTGCGAGGGGAGGGCCTCTGGCTGTTTTTGCGGTCAGTTAAACGTTTTGGCCAGGTCCAAAGTTATTGACCGACTTTACTGTAACCCGAGTGTACCACATGACATTCAATGCTCTGAGGAAATCGGGCACCAGGCCCAGTCCGGGCCGTGCACCATCTGAGGATGAGCGAAAGATTCTGCAGGAATAAACAGGCAAAAACATAACTGTTCGCACTTGAGGGAAGATGTAATACGTGTAAAATATGAGTAGATTATGTCACATTCAATAACGATCAGTTGGAAAGTCTCCAAGTAAACCATTTCAAGATTGTTGATCAATATTTGAACAATTGATTGATTTTCGAGGACAAGAAAAAGGATATTACAAGCTTACGAAAAATTTTCCTATAAATGCAGGTGATTTTTGATTCGCCTTTTGGTTTAGCCTAACCCTTTCATTTAATTGATCATTATTCTATCATTCTGTTCTCTTTGCCTCCCCCCTGTTTTCCCTACTGTAATGAAAGTATTTTTGTATTTCCCAAAAAAGGAAAGAATTGATAAATTAAGCTGAACTCTCCACACACGCGCAGCCGTTAATTATACATCGTTGTACTTATTTATGTTGCTTATTTTTTTTCTTATTTACTTTTTATACATATATTTATATTCTGTTGAATGCAATGAACTCCGCGCTGCCACGACGACTTTGGGCTTGTTTATTTAAAAATAAAGTAATACAATTTACAAAAATTAAAAAAACGACGAACAAAAATCGAATCAACAAACAAAAGGAATTCTTTGTTTATGGCACTGCCAACCTGTGCCAATGTGTGTGTGATAGTGTGAGTGTGAGTGTGGAGACCACAGATACGCGTATCGCGATCCTCGAGTGCTATCTCTGTTGCACACATGCTTTCTAATATGTGGTTGTTTGTTCTTGTTATTGCTCTCCAATTGGGGCGCAAATTGCAAAAACCACAAAAACCAACAAATTGCAGAGCCCCTTAAGGCCCCCCACACAAAGCCCAGTGCAGGAGAAATTTTTGTTGATTTTCGGGTGTAGAGTTGTGTAGAGTAGAGTTCATTGGCTTTATGTAGATTTTATTTTATCAGTTGAAATATTTTGCTAACAAATTGCAGTCAATGACATACACACACACACACACACACACAGATACTGCTGCAGAGCGGATGTGGATACACTGGATGTCATCCCCCTCTCCATCACCCCCCTCTCTGCTGTATGTGCGTGGGGTAGCCAAAGGAGGTGGAGACGACAGGCGATTGACTGAGACGGGGGAACAGGTCACGCAAGCGTACCACAGTTTATTCATCTCTCTCTCTCTCTCGACTCACAGCACCCAAATGCGCAGCAGCTTCGGAAATCGACAATGTTCTCAAAGCAGAATCGATAAAGTGGAGATAGAAGAGAGTCGAGTCGAGTCGAGTCCGCGCTGACCCATCTCCTGCCCCCATCGGCTCCCCTTGCACACACTTGTGCAAGCTTTACTTTTTTCGGGTTGTTTGTCAAGAAAAAAAAATGATGAAGAAGAGTGCACAGAAAATGCTGTTGCGGGAGTGAGAGACGGAGTAAGAGACGAGCACAAGTGGAGCTACAAGAAGACCACAGAAAAGCTTGCCGGTGAATGGGAGGGGGAGTAGGAGTGAGAGAAGACTACAGCAGAAGCTGTTGGTAGAAGGAGGAGTAGGAGGAAGAGGGAGGGTTGGCGCAGGCGAAACGACTGCAAAAATTGTTTAATTATAAAATGCTAAAAAAAAGACAGCAACAACAACAGCAAGACACATTCAGCGCAAAAGCAAAAGCAGTGAGGGAGAGAGTGAGAGACAGAGATACAGTTTTTTGTTGAAGGACACACACGGTCTTTAAAAGTGAGTAATGCACTGGAGGTTGTTGACTCTCGATCCGATCCGATCGTTGTTCCCCTCTAGCTGAAGCTCTTTCTCTCTGGGTCTCTGTTGGTGTGTTGCCAGCGTCGCAGTCGTATACTTATTTTGCACTGTCCGCTTTGGTTGCTTGTGTGTGCATACACGCATACATACAAATGCATATGCTGTGCGTGTATTTGTGAAGAATCTTTTGTTATGCGTTTTTATTTTTCGGCGTTGTTGTTGCTGTTTGATTTTGTTCACGAGTGTATCCGTATCTCTCTCCCCTGCGAGTATGTGTGTTGTACAAAGTCAAAGTGATTAAACTTTATGCGCAATTTATTTTGCATTCAAGAACAGCTAAACCGAAAAAACGAGCAACAGCATTATGGTTTAGCGCTAATTTAAGGCACTGCCTGTCACATATGCGGCTACAACAGGTTAAGGTGCCCTTATCGATTGGTGTTAATCTGGATATGGAAAATTCCTGCCTTCCTTCCTTCCTTCCGCCCATCTATCCGTCCAGCATTGAAATTATCGCATGTGTTCCATCGGATCGGATCAATCATCAAATACGCGACGGCCCCGCCACCCAGTGATTGACTTCTTGGCAACTGTACGAATGTCGCATGACAACAACGACTGCGATGTCCGGGATGCGGGTGCTGCAAATTGACTCAGAAGTTAATTTTTCTTCTGTTTTATTTGTATGCGTCGTTTTTTGGAGATGGTGACGGGGAGGGGAGTGGGGAATTGCAACATGCGGCTAAATGTTGACACCCAGCAGACGCCACAGTCCACCGCAAAAAAAAAAAGCGGCAGCGGGTCCTGCAAAAAAAAACACAGAAACACGTAATGAGTGAGCAATGGCATTAGGGTGGAAATTTCATAGCAGGGTCTTAAATATTAAAAAATAATTTTTTAATTAATGGAATTGTTTCGTTGATTCTAAGTTTTTCAATATATAGTTGTTTATCTTCTTGGAGAACGATATACATATGTATAAGCTGTCCACCCCAATCGCGTGCAGCCAGCCAATCTCCAGATGCGCGCAATATGTGCTCCTTCCTGGCCGATGCCATCGTCAGGGACACAGTTGCAGTCGCTGCAGTTGTTGTTGTTGTTGCTGTTGCTTTTTCATGTGGCTTTCGCTGCTGCTGCTGCTGGTGCGGTTTCTGGTGCTGCTGCTGTTGTTAATCGTCTTGACAGCGCAGTCACATTGTGCGTGCTGCTCCAAGGCCAGTGCAATATTTTACACAAGTGACATCGCTATCCTCTCCAGCACTCTCCTTGGCACCTCCATCTCGCTCTCTCTTCGCTACAGTCGCGCGCAGCATTTAGCTGGCACTGCATTTCATGGCTGTTTATTTAGCCATTGTTCCCCTCCTTCACCTCTACTGCTCGTCACACTCCCAGTCGCACACATACGCGTATGCAATCGCTTCACACCCACTGTACGAGGAGTTGGAAGCCATATCCATTATCGATCTGAATATGTGATTCATATGTCAGAGCAAGATATGGTACGGGCTGGGCTTGATCCACCAATAAATCCAGCGGAGTAATCGATCATTGTCTTATGCGCGTATTCTACGTTCTATAAAAATATTTCGAACTTTTTTAAATCCGAGTATGAAGTAACACTTTCTTAACACTTCTTTTAGTGTAACTCAGAATAAATAATTATTCTAATACACATTACCAAAAATTTGAATCACACTACAAAAAATTTGATTCTTCTATTTTTTAAGAAATTATCAGATAGACGTGTCTGAGTTAAATCCAAGACAAGTCTACGTCCCATTCGAAATATTTAGTTTTGTAACGCATCATAAATAAAATAATGGAAAGAATGGAAAACATAGCTGAATATCTTAAGGTCCTGTAAGTAGAGACCACTTCAATCCGAAGTTAATTGAGATAATCAATTCAATCCAAATGGCATAGGTTCTTCCACGCGTTCAACACAATCACAATTGATCGGTTGTGTTTAACGGTTGTGGTGGCGGTTGTGTGGATTTTGCTTCTATTCCCTAAATTACGCCGTTTTTTCCTGCGCAACCTGTTCAGGATCTTAAGGACGATTTCAGTAAGCTTAACCATCAAACGCCATGGCCATAAGTTGTCGCCGGCATCCGAAAGTAGACTGTCGATTGTAAGAAAGAAGACTTTGGTTCTGGACATGGACGAAACTTTGATGACAGCGATTGTAAAGGGAGGCCATAGACTTGACAATGAAATGAATGTCCCATTCGATTACCGCTTTACCATGTTCGACTCAGCTTACACAGTTTTCGTGTACAAGCGGCCACATTTGGACTACTTCTTGGATACGGTATCCCAATGGTACAACCTTGTGGTGTACACCACTTCAACGAAGCTCTATGCTGATCCCATATTAACCTTTTTGGACAATGGACGAGGAATTTTAAGGAAGCGCTTGTATCGCCACAACTGTAGCCATATTCATGGGGTCAGGATTAAGCCCGTAAGCCGTGCTTGTGCCGACTTATCCAGTGTTTTTATTTTGGACAATTCATTAATTGAGTGCACATACAACAAGGGCAACGCTATAAAGATCAACAGCTATGTGATTGGCAGTCTTATGGATAATAATCTTCTGTACCTGCTGCCCTTCCTCGATTGTCTGCGTTTCGTTGAAGATGTCCGTTCCATCTTGAAACCAATGAATACCAATAGTTCAGAAGATGTCAAAAACGAGTCTGTTAGTCAACTATTAATATCCTAATATACAATTCTGATTACCCATGAAAAGATTTACAAAATTTTGCAAACTAAGTTGCTCTCAAAAAGCCAGGCGAACTCTTTTAACATCTTCGACTTAGTCATGGTAAGGTATTGGCAAGGGGCGGACCGCTTAGCTTAGTCATAGTCAAAGCCAACCATGTGAATCACTGAGCAAATGACTCGGGCCAAGGTTGCGGCGATAACAGGGCACAGCTCATATTAATCAGAGGCTAGTACAATATGCTCCACTTTATCGGCAAGAGGCCACAGAAACAGCGGGCAACTGCGACAGTGAAAAATGAGCGAATGTCACAAGGATCATAGGGAAGATCTGAGTAGACTCTAGAGCCCTTTAGTTTCATCTCCATTTCGATCGCAGTAGAAACCGAACCGAAACCGGTTGGGAAAAAACACTAAGCAATCCAAAAAGCGAATAATACGACTAGAAAATACCTAGTAAATATATATTTTATACTTTATTTATTATTTTAAGTCGGAGTTAATTTAATTTTAACCTTTTTCCAACACATAAGCGAAAAATGGCATTTAATTTTCATAATTCCTTATTATCTTATCAGTATAAAATAAAGTTGATTGTCAGATAATGGCTATATGTATACTTGAATTGTGTCAAATTTTAGAACCATGAATATAGCCAAATTAATATAGTGCGGTACTGGGATACCATATACCCATCGAACACTAAGGAATTCTTTTCTGGCTAATCCCTAGGTCCAGCTCAGCCATTTGGGTGCGGCAATTAAGTCACCACCACCAACGAGGAGGAAGGAGCTCCAGCCGGGGCCGGGAGGAGAGTTGTGGGAAAGGGTTTTGGGGAAGGGGTCGCGCGTTTCCAGTGAAGATCATTATTGTCTCGTCGCGGATGCTGGCAGAGCGACGGCGGCCCCAAAAAAAAGCAAAAAAAAAACAGCAACAGCAGCAACAACGGGGCAAACAAGTTAATGAACCTGCCCCGAGACGCGTCTGGTCGCAATCCTTGAGAGCCTGTCCAACTAGTTTCGGCTTTGGTCTGGGTCTGAGTCCGAGTTCGCGGCACGCTGCTTTGCGGCAAACCAAAATCTGTGGCATGAATTCTCTGGAAATTATCAAAATTTCATTTCATTGCGAGGCAAGGCGATGCGATGCGGCAGCCAACCAAAATTAAGTTCAACAGCATTCCATGGGTCTGGGCCTGGGCCTGTCTGGGGCCGGACCCGCCGTTGTTTCCTTTGGGCCTGGCTAAGAAGAGCTGAGGGCTCTGTTGTTGATGGTGTGTCGTTGCTGTTGTGCAGCCCCTGCTGTTCTTTCCCCCCCGAGTATCCTTGAGGCCGGGAGTCATTGCCCTCCTCCTACGGGGTCGCATTACACAATTGCAGCTTACGGCCTGTCCTGCGCTCAAGTTACACAGAACTCCAGTGGCCTACTTCCACTTGAATGACCCGTCCCGTCCCATCCATTTCCCATCCCATCCCGCTCTGGTAACGGTGGAACAATGGCCTTTGTACCCCTCGGGCAAGCAACCCCATCCTCATTGCCCCGCCTGAGATCCGATACGATCCCGAGTTCTGAGTCCTGAGTCCTGAATCCCGCTGAATCCTGAGTCAGCCAAAGACAAAGCAACTCATTTTGTCGCATTCAAACAGAAATTAATATAAAACAAAAAGCTCAATCCAATTCCAATTCCATCCAATCCAAAGAGAGAGAGAGAAAGAGAGGGGGGAGATGAAGAGTGAGGGAATATAATTTTATTTTTATAACTGACCTCGAACTTTTGTGCAGTGTGATTGAACTACTGGACCCCTGCCTGATGCGATATCTGTGGGCTCTGTTCAGCACCGCCCCGCGCTCCCCTTCCCTTCTCGCTGTTGCACCATTTGCATGCAGACTGCATACGGAGCCATAGCTATAGTCAGAGCCAAGAGCCTGGGTCTGTGGATGCAATCGAATCGAATCGCGCGGCGTCGTTGACAAACAATATGGAAATTTTACAGAGTGCGCAGAAATAAAAGGGGGAAGCGAAAGCGAATCTTAAATGCTAAAGCAGTGGCCACCGATATGAGGGATGGGTAGAGAGGGAGGGGAAGCAATAGTTTTAGCGCGAAACGTTAAATGCATAATAAATGTGCGTTCTGGCGGTTGGCGGTTGGGAAATAAAATGCGTGCAGCGGCTGCAGTTGGCAGCGCTGCCTTGCACTTTCAATGACCAGCAAAACGATAAGAGAACTAACGAGAGTGAGAGAGAGTGACAGAGAGAGAGAGAGCTTAAGGACAGGAACAGAGGCAATACTGTGGGAACAGCAATGTCAAAGTGTAATTTAGTTTGCTCAAAAATTACAAAAAGATTTTAAGAGACCGAACATGAATAGCAAACTGACGCCTGAATAAATACACCCTGAGTATACATATCTATTAATTATTTAGCATACGTTTTAGTCCAGCAACAAACCACATTTGTTTGCCATACAATCGCAGAGAGAGAGAGAGAGAGCGAGAGAAAAGAAAGATAGTAAAATAGAGAGCGAGAGCGACGTGAGTGGGAGAGAGATCGTCCGCGTGCAGTGTACAGTTCTTTATCAAAAATTGCTTTGTTGCTGTTTGCCGCTGTGCAAATATTTGATATTCTTTTTTATTTAGCAAAAAGGCGCAAAACAAAAGAATCACAAAAAAAAAGACATGAGAAACGAAGAAGAGAATAAATAGAAAGCAGAGGCGTTGAAGCCCCAGCATGATTTGGCTCGAGCCCCTTGTGGTGGAGAGCAACGTGCGCCACTGAACGACGAGCTCCACACACAAAAAATGTTTAGCTGACGTCATTTGTCCTTGAAATCGTATATTTGCCGCAAACTCAAAGCGAAAAATCCGCAAAATTCAATGCACCCGCCGCTGAAGCAGCGACTGCGGCAGCGCAGCCAGCCCCCAAAAAATCGTCAAAGCAGCGACCAACAACAAAACAGTAGATAAGATGACAAAAGCAAAAGCAAAAAAATATAAGGAGTGAGAGAGATGTGAAATGGAAACAGAAGCAGCACCATACACATAATACGAAATTTGCATAGAAAGTGCAGTAATATATCAAAAATAAATGAAGTCGAAAACCCCGAAAATAGCAATAATATGACATATACAATTATTGAATATAAATTAACTTATTTAATTTATACTTTAATAAACAAATTCAAACTCTAACGGCTGGGACCGCCAAAACGAAATAACACCTAACGCCAACAACAACGCATAAATGAGAAAAACCGTTCCAAATATCGATATTTTGTTCTTGCAGCGTAACATTACCGATATATTGGAGATAATCAACTCACCTTCTTCAACTCTTTCTCTAACAATGTTGAAAGGAAATTTCCTAATTGTGTTGTCCCGATTTAACCCAATGGTTGCCATAAGATTCATTGCTCGCGGTTCAACCGCAGGATATCTAGATAATTTAAAAAAGGAAAGGGTATACAAAGTGCCATACTTCACAAAAAAGTCTTGAAATGTAGCAAATATGTAGTTACCGTATAGTTACCATGTCCTGTCCGTCAGTATATTTACGGTATATTTTGATAATGACAAAGTATATTTCTGAGGGTCAGACGGTATATTTTCTCGATAAATCCGCGGCCACACTGGCACTATTATTTATTAAAAGCGTGCGTAAAAACGCTTAAATTTTTTTAAGCCAGAGAACTGCAGCTGCAACAAGAGCACGTGCCGACAGCAGCAACCCAACCCCGAAACAGAGCCTAGCAACCACAACAACCAGGAGCCCCAATCGGAACTCTCTGCGTTTCATTTATTAATGCGAATTGGATTTGTTTAGCCAGCCAAAAGTTGTCGATGTATTGGCAAAAGTAGAAGCAGCAGCAACGCAGCCCCAGTGCCAGGTGAGTTATAATAGAGCATTGTTCTGGGCTTTTAAGTTCTCTCTCTCTCTCTCCGAGTCTCTCCCCCGTATTTTTTGCGTAAGTTCATGTCTGTTGCAAACCAAACTGTGTCAACTAATTATGGAGCGCATGATTGCGGGCCGTTTATAATAATCTTCAGCGCTGACTGCCGTGCCGTGCCCGCCTGCCTGTTCACTCCACCGCTGCCTTATCAGCGTTTATCTGGTCTTTTGCCCTTTGCCCTGCGCGTTTTGCTTCTTTTTCTATTTTTTGCAAGCCTGCACATTTGTGCGAATGAATGTCTAAAAATCGAAATCAATAGAAAACTATCGACAACAGGTTCCGTTCGATCGTACCGCCAGGGCCAGGCAGCCTGCTCTCGGTAGTGTTTTGGAGCCCATGTATTGTAACGTAGCCGTTGAAATCTACACGTTTGTTTGCGCAGAGCTTATACGGGTCGTATCATTACTGTGATATGCTAATCTCAATGCCCACGCGTATCTGACTGAAGTTGACGGCCCGGCCAGTTTCGTAATTCGTAATTAACAATCTCCCCCTCCTCTCCGTCTCTCTCGCTCCATATGTGTGCTGTGGCTCGGTGCCGCTCTTCCACACCAAACAGATACTCAGCGTCGACATAGACGTATTGTAAATCGATAAGCCAGCCGGCCCCCAAGATACACCCACGCGGGCACACAGACGGACACAGAATGGGCCAAACACTGTCCGAGCCGGTAACTGCCAAGGAGTCGTCGTACTGCCAGAACTCTGTGTTCCGTGTCGGCTCAAGCTGCATGCAAGGATGGCGCATCAACATGGAGGACTCACACACACACATTCTCTCGCTGCCGGATGATCCGGGCGCGGCCTTCTTTGCCGTCTACGATGGCCATGGCGGTGCCACGGTTGCCCAATATGCGGGCAAGCATCTGCACAAGTTCGTGTTAAAGAGACCCGAGTATAATGACAACGACATCGAGCGGGCGCTACAGCAGGTAAGTGTAGCTGGGATTACTCACTGCCACTCAGAGGTGACAATGCTAACGATAACCGTCATGATGATGCAATTCTAGGGCTTTCTGGATATTGACTATGAAATGCTGCACAATGAGTCATGGGGCGATCAGATGGCTGGCTCTACGGCTGTGGTCGTTCTTGTGAAGGATAGCAAACTGTATTGCGCCAATGCCGGCGATTCGCGGGCGATTGCCTGCGTGAATGGCCAGCTGGAGATACTCTCCATGGACCACAAGCCCAACAACGAGGGGGAGTCGAAGCGCATCATCGAGGGCGGCGGTTGGGTCGAGTTCAACCGTGTTAATGGCAATCTGGCACTTTCCCGGGCGCTGGGCGATTTTGTCTTCAAGCGTTCGAACAAAAAGCCGGAAGATCAAATCGTCACAGGTGAGAAATGCATGTTTAAATCGCTGTTCTCATTGTTCTCATAATCCATTATCACCTTGCGTTTTCGTTGTTCTTACTACGCTACAGCCTACCCGGACGTGGAGACACGGAAAATCATGGAAGATTGGGAATTTATCGTACTGGCCTGCGACGGCATTTGGGATGTGATGAGCAATGCGGAAGTGCTTGAGTTCTGCCGCACTCGCATCGGAATGGGCATGTACCCAGAGGAGATATGCGAGGAACTGATGAACCATTGCCTGGCCCCCGACTGCCAAATGGGCGGACTCGGTGGGGACAACATGACCGTCGTCCTGGTCTGCCTGCTGCACGATAAACCCTACAGCGATTTAATTGCCCGCTGTCGGAATAGCAATAAGACGGCATTCGAGCAAGACGCCGGCACGGCAACAAAGACCACACAGTCCAATGATAACATGGCCGAGACACAGACCTCGAGCCCTACTACCACAAACACAACCACAATCAGTCCCAATTCCAGCCTGATCACGCCCAGCGAGGCGACCAACAGTTCCGAAGAGCAGAAGAAACTGGAGAAGGAGGCACAAGATCCGCTGCTGGCAGCATCCGAGATGCAGTTAAACTATATCTACTAGTGCGCCTTATGATTAATTAGGGTATCCTCGAAATACCGCTTAGGTCAACTCTTTATACTTACAAGTGTTCTTGGTTAAGTTTTATAGACACAAGAGACACACACACACACACACCACAAACAAACAAACATGCCACACACGCAAACAATCCTTACCAAAATGTTTAGCTCCCACGAATAATTTTTGTTTATTTTAGTTTATCCCCGCGTCCCGTCCCACCCTTATCGATGTGTGTATGTATAATATGTATATGATATGTACGATTATATATACATTTGAATTACTATGTTTTGTGATGCCCAAGCAGAATGGAAAAAAAAATTGTATTACTCGTTTAGTATTTATGTACCTAAAACTATACTTGTCAGAGTTTCGGGATTGATCTTTATAAGGAGAATGTTTTTTACCCAAAGGAGAAGAAAAAGGAAGACAATGAGTTTTTGAAATTGAAAATAAAGCAAAATGTTTTGTAGTGCCCAAAAGTGAAGTGTTTTAAATATAGTTTTTGATTCTCGGCTGAAACTGGGACTCCAACGAAATCCTTTGTCTGGATCTTGTTGTACAGTTGTTTCTACTCAAAACAGCACTGAGTTAGATTGAAGGAATCGATTATTTGGTTTGTGGAACCAAGGAACTCGTTTAGTGTAGATATCCCTGTACCCTCCTGATTCAGGCAACATTGCCTGTTTCGAGAGTTAAAATCCCTTCCATATGCACTCGTTTGTGGCCAAAACGATCCGTGTTCCCCCGTTAAGCAATAACTTGGACTGTTTTGTACAGCTTTTCTTGCTGGTTATCGCTCGCTTTATTGTTTGACATGTTTCTTGTGTTGTTTTTTCTTTCTGCTATCTACATTTAATCTACATTACGCCCGCTTGTTGTTCTCTCCTTGTTCTTTTCTTTTATTATTTGATTTTCTTTTCGTTTATATGATACATACAATAAAATAAAATAATCGTGTGTTGTGTGTATGGTGTGCTGTGTGTGTGTGTGTTTTGTGGTCATGAAATGTTTTCCCTCTCTGTGTATTTGTGTTAGTTTTTAGCTCGTAAGTATAAATTTTATTTAAACTTTTTGCTATATTTTCATTACGAGTACAGGTTTCTTCTTCAACAACACCATTATCATCGTGTGGGTGATTTTTACGTACAAATTGTTCACTCTTAACCATATATCTATATATATATATATCTATATTATTTATATATATATATATATAGATAGGGGGAAATGAATTACGCCTTTTCGTGTTTTGGTTGTTTCTCAGTGTTTGTATTTTTATAATTTTTTTTTTGCTCCGTTTTATTATAATATTTATATTTTATTTTATTTATGTATGCCATATTACAGACACTCAATTATGCATTATCTCTGTTGGTTGGTTGTGTGGCTTTCGCTGCTGCATCGAGAGGGGGGAGGGGGGATATTGTATGATTTTATAGTTAGTTTATAGTTTTAATCATATGCAATTTTATAAACCATTTTGTTTTCTTGTCGCTTTACAGTTATCAATTTCGGTACAATTACAGTTGATTACACGTACATATTCTTCTTTTTGTAAGTATATATATATATATCTTTTTATATATGTATTACTCAATTACATATTTGCATTTTTGTTTTCTTTTTTTTAACAGACAGGTTGGTGCTGATTTTGTTGTTCTTGTTCTTGTTGTAGCTTTTTCTAGTGATAACAATGTGCGTAAGCATTCTTCTGTTTAGCTTTCATTTGCAGCTTATGGGTAGTACATAAAAGCAGAGACTTAACCCATGGTAAATAAAGGAACGCCTGATCTCTAGCCATTAAAATATAGTTCATGAAAGATGATATTATAGGTATGGGTGCCCCACGCTCTTCAGAAGCAAAGCTTCACAAATTAAAAGAGGAAACGGAAAAATAAACTTATCTGCTGGCAGTGCCATAAAGAATGGTCAATGGTAAGGCGATGAAAGCATGACATGAGGATAGAATAGAACCAGGGCATAGAATAGACCCTCTGGCATATAGTATGTACATTTGATTGGTGTGGCCGAGGGTCATTCCATTATGTGTAATTTAAAGATGCTTCCTTTCTTGTGTGTGTTTGTGTGGGTCTGAGTATGGGGGGGATGCTAGCTATGGGCGTGGCATGCCTGCTCAATTTCTAATCGTATTATTTTGTAAATATAACAAGGTGTCATATGCGCTGCTTAATCATACAAAAATAAATAACTTAAGAACTCAGGTTTACAATGTAACAATTTAATTTAATTTATTGTATTGCCTTAAAATTATTCAACATCAACAATGTTTCTTTACTTTCTCTATACCCTACTACTCTCATTCTCTTCGCTTCGCTTCTCTCTACTGTTCTCTTTCTCTGCGTGTCTCTCTCTCTGTGTTTGTGTGTGTGGTGTGTTGTGTCTAGGTGTGAACATGTCTGGACGTGTCTGCTGCTGGAGGAAAACCCAATTGGGCAGTCGTTTTTCCGTATATTTCATTTTGTTTTTTTTGTCGCACACAATTGACGATCCGTCAGTTGCATAATATCACATCTCATTGCCGGAAGAACGGGGCTGCCTCGCATCCAGCTCCCCAACCAACAACAGCCGCACAGCCGCACGCTCGCTCAACCGATCAATCTTCCGCTCTAACATTTTCACCTAAAGCAGTCCGCAGTCCAAGTTGGTGTCCGCCCTACTGAGGTTCCACTGTAGAGTGTTCTCTGTCTGTGTTTGCTATTGTGGCAGCCGACAGTGTGAGTGATGAGCACAACAAAATCATTTGAGAACGTTCGAAACTAATGTCTGGGGTGTATGGGGATTGGGTTGGGTTGGATGATAGTTAGGGAGAGGGTTGGGTTGCGTCTTTCATCAAATGGGGAAGATACAAACTATAAACTATGAATTATTTAAAGTTAAATTTTTAGTGTCCCGAGTACACGACGAACCACTGAGCAAGGTATAATATGTGTGGGGGTGGCTGTGTCTCCCTATCTATCGCATCGACCCCTAAACCAGTGACAGGAAAGCCCCCCGCGCCGTCTGGTCAAATATCAGTTGGGCGAATGAATGAATCATTGGTTTGATTCAATGAGTGTTTGTTGGTTTGTTTGTTTGTTTTCATTTCACTGTGAGGTTAAGTTAGATCCTAGAGGCAGTTGAGTGATTGAGTGTGGGAGCATGATTCTGTGCGAGCAAGGGGAGTGTGTGTGTGTGTGATTGAGGGAGGGAGGGAGGACACAGTTTTGGTTCTTGGCTCAGTGGTCTGACTGTACTTGCGTGTCACACCATAATATAATAGTTAGTATAGGCACTTAGCATATTCGATTGTTTTCATAGAAACAAAGTATATGTTTACATATTTGTATGTTTGTATATATATATATATATATTGGTTTTCAGTTTTAGTTTTCTTTCTCGTATTTTTGTTACATTTTCATTTACATTTCGGTAGAAAGTCTTCAGTTTAAGAGTTAATTTTTCTCCTTCTCCTTCTTCTCTTTCGTTATTTTGATTTTGGATGAGTTTCGTTTTACGGGAAAACATTGTTCGGTTCATTTCATTCACAGTGTGTTCATCAGCACTAACTTAAAGAGAAACAAAGGTATCGTTTGCCGTTTAGTATTCTATTCTATGACAAATAATATTGAAATCGATCGTTAGTTTTGGGCGTGTGAGTGTAAGTCTGTGTGTTTGTTTGTGAAAGGCGGGCGCAGTTTTGTTCTCAAATAAAAGTTGAAAATAAGAAAAAAAAAAAAGAGTTGAATATTACTTGCAGTTAAGTGTGAATATTCATTCGCATTTCTAAACTTAATTCTTAGGCCTAGAGTAGTTTGTATATATATATATATATATTTATATTTATATCTCTCTCTATTTATGCGCACACATTTAGATATCGCGTGCACGCTCTTAAGACTACTGATTATTCCTCCTCCTCCTCTTCTTCAGTTGCCAATGGATGATGTTATGAATTAGGGATCAAATAACATGCTTCTCAAATAAATCAGGACGACTCTTCGTAAATCATTTGTTTGTGCGTAATAAAGGAAACCAAAATCGATAATGAGCATCATTATACAGAGGGGTGGTAGCATTATAAATTGAGAGACAGTTTAACATAATAGAATCTGTTTTTAAATGCCTATTTGTGTTGTCCTAAACCTCGTAGAATTTCGTGTGTGAGTGTGTTTATTTTTTCATTATAGTGTTATGGCACCTTTTTGTATATAGAGTGTATTTTGTGTGTGTTTTGGTAAGTGTAGAATACATTCTTTGTAGGCTTATATACAGAGTTGTAAATTTAACATTGGATAGTGTCTGTCTTATGAGCTGAGCTGAGCTGTAGCCGTGTCCACCTACGCTTTATAAGGATAGAGTTTAGTTGCTTTAGCAATGCACTAACTTTGATTAAGAATAATTCTCCTTTTCTTCGTGTACTTTTCTTTTCTTTGCTTCTTGAAATAGACGTGAAACCATCAAACTGAGAAAATTGCCATTCATCGCGTGGAAACAAATGCAATTTTAAAATATATAAGTTATTCTCATAAGTATCTAAATGAAGGATATACTCAGGTGTAGGGGTGGGTGGGGTTGTGGTCTTGGCTGTGGCCAAGGGTAAGGGCAGTTGGTCTGCGTGTATGTTCCGTGTGTAAGGGATCCCTTATGTCGTGAACTAAGTACGAGAATCCACTTTAATAAAATATTTGTGTATAAAAAAAATAAACCATTCGCTCAAACAAGACCAACTGATAAAATGTTACAATGGTTCCAAACAATATATCAATATATATATATAAATGTATACTCGTATATATCTAATTAATAGAAGTAACCCTAACTTCTGGGACTAGCGGAGACATAGCTATGTATATAGATAACATATACGCCATATACTCGTATCTGTGTACTTCTGTTTTGGCTATAAACATTAAGTTAGATGTGAGTGTGTGTCGCGTGTGTTGTGTGGTGTGGTGTGGTGTTGTGTGTGTCGCGTGTGAGTGTAAGCAAAATGTAAATAATGAATTACTAAACGTAGATAATAACGTAATCAACGTATGATTCATGATGCATGAGTCTCATCAAAAATTTATCAGTAAAATCGTTTACAATGTGTATCTTTTCTTTTGCTCTGTTTTGTCGTTCGATGCAAGTTGGCTAACTAAAATCAAAACTTAGACTTATTCACTCGGTAATCATTAATGGTAATCGTAATCATAGCTTAGGCATATTCATCATCTCTTCGTCTACACTTATCCTCTCTCCATTCTCCATTCAGTCATTCATCCATTCGTTATTCTCCAAATATCATCGCTGCTCATCGCTCTAGTCCACGGTGTACCCCTCAAGCTTAGGTAAAGACGTAGATCAACAGTAACCGATAACTGATTAAGCATATACATATATATGCGTATATACATATATGCGGGTAAATAGCTGGAGAAAGGGGTATGCACCATTCATTATTCCTTTATTCCTTTGCCTACTAATATGATAACTGGTCCAAGCTTCGCCTGCTTCTCCATCCCATCTCATCATCTGCTCCTTTCTCTTGAGCAGCGGCGAAAGCTGTGAGCACAACAAAATGGGGGATTAGGAGTCCATTATAATGCGACTGAAATGAATGAACACTCACCTTTTGTATGCCTCCTTAGTTAGCTGGTAAATATCTATAGCATAGCACTTATAGATGTAACAAAAATTGTTCTGGTATTTACACATGGAATTTCATATATTTACAGGCAGATGCATTATCAGAGGCATCCTGCAAAAGGTCTCTTACAGTTGCCTCGCTTTTGGCAACGACTTTCCCTTCCCCTAAGAGTTGTTGTGGGCCCTGGACTTGCGGTTGCCGCCAGTCCCCGAGCCTACATTGGCATTGGTATTGTGCTCTGTCCCTGAGCCGTAATGTTGCTGATGATGTTGCTGTTGTTGGTGTTGGTGCTTCTCCTTGCTCTGGTGGCGCCCACCACCGGCCATGGGCGAGGCATGGGAGCGGACATCTGCATTGGAAAAACCACCTTAAATACTTATACATTCGGGATACGTGAGTGTCCCACTAATCGTACTCATACCTTTCTCCTTGGCACCGACGGCATTGCTGCCTTGAGCTGAATTCATTGTCTGTGTACCGCTGGCAGCTTTGGCAGACAGCAAAGCATTGACGGCCGGGGAGGCTCCTCCTGCTATACGCTTCTCGGTGGCGACCACACTCTTCTCCACAGCGGCAGCGATTGTGGTGGGATCACCAAAGACTAGATCCATCTTGTGGCTGCCAGTGGGCGAAAGGGTGCCGGTGGAGGCACTTCCATCCTTGCTGTCCGTGGAGGCCTTGTGGTGCTGGGCTACCTGGGCGTAGCTCAGCTTGCTCGCCGTGGCGGCGGCAATGTTCTCGTTCGATGTGGAGGTGGCAACGCTCTTCTTGCTGGCTGGATCCTTGGTCAGGCTTGCCTCCTTCTTGGCGTGCAGGGCGGCAACGGAGGGCGGTTTCTTATGCTGGCTGAGGCTGCACTCGGCCAGGCTGGCGGTTAAACCGGTCGCAACTGTCGCCACACTGCAGGCGCCAGCGCCCGCGGGCACGGCAGTGATTGCCCCCGCGCCCCTTGCATAATCGTTTAGGGCAGCCAGCGGTGGCAGCTGATGCTGCTGCTGTTGCATAGTCTGGACGTAGGCTTCGGCCAGACGTTGCGGCGGATGCTGCTGCAGCAGCGGCTGCTTTGGATGCATTTCATCCTCAGTCTTGTTTGATTTATCCAGCTGCTGGGCAGAACCAGGTCCGGCTCCGGCTCCTACCCCGACTCCGGCTGCGGCTGCCTCATCCTTGCTGCTGGCATTGATATTTGGTGTTAGACACTTTATCACATGGGTCGAACTGTTACTGGAGCTCTGCTTCGTAACGTTTTTAGTATTGTTGCCCTCGAGGGGCGCGTACTCCACGGCGGGCGTGGGACTGACCGGCACATTTCGCTGATGCTGCTGGAAGTTGGGGGGCAAATGCGGCTGTGGCTGTGGTTGTTGCTGCTGCTGCTGCAGCTGGGTCTGATTCGGATGGTGTTTGCTTTGGACAGTCTCCTTGCGAGCCTTGCCCTTGGCTCCCCCTCCGCCACCACCCCCGCCAGTACGGACCACGTCCGAGAGACGGTTCTCGGACCAGTTGTTGGCAGCTACAGAGACAGCAGCACTGTTGGCCAGATGAGCAATACCTTCGCCCTGCTGATAATTGCTTGAACGCTGCTCATCGCTGGTCTCCACGCTGCCGCTCAGCTGCTGCTGCTGATGAAGAGTTTGTTTCTGTGTTAAGGCAGGCGCAGAGGAGGACGAGTTGGAGTTGTGCACGGACGCGCTATTGGCCTGAGGAGTGTGTGGCGTGCTTACCGATGCTGACGAGGCTGGCAGTGGTGGGAAGGCGGTTGCCTCTAGATCAAACTGCGGCGGTTGCACTGGCACTGCCGGCTGCTGTTGTTGCTGCTGCTGCTGTTGTTGCTGCTGATGCTGGTGTCCCTGGTAGCCCAGGGTAACGTGATGCATGCCACGCTCATTGGAGGCATTGCCGTTTCCACCCGAAACGCTGTTGTTGCCAGATCCACCGCCTCCGGCTGCAGCTCCACTGCTGACGCCCACTCCTCCGCTGTTCCCTACATTGCTTCCGATGGAATTGTGGTGATGATGGTGGTGATAGTGGTGACTCGATCCCTGCTGCTGTCCCGCTGCCAGGTGGTGCTGCGAGGACAGGGCGTTGTGGTGATGGTGATGCGAGCTGTTCGACATGGACGAGTGCTGGGCGTGATAGTTAGGATTATAGTTGTTGCCCTTGTAGTTGCCCCGGTGCTGGGGCGGTGGTGGTGGTACATCGTGAATATTGTAATGGCTCTCCCGATCACCGCCGCGATGGGAGGGACCACCGTTGCCTGACTGCACATTGCTGGCGGAAGACGAGGACGATGAAATCATCTGCTGTTGCTGCTGCTGATGCGGCGCAGACGGAGAGGTGCCAAAGAGCTAAGATGGGTGCAAAGAAGCGTCAGGTTAAGAAATGAGAAAATCCTAACTTAATCAGATATGACTTACCCCCACTCGACCGCTTGGAGAATAATTAATAGTGCCGCCCTCCTCATCGCGACGACGACGACGTGGACGCGTCTGCCATTGCAGCGGCTCCTTGCTGATTGATGTGGCCATCGACGAGGATGAGCTGGCCGACATATTACTGCTGCGATTGACTTGTTGCATAGCATGCGAACCATGGTCCACATTCTCCACCGCCTCCTGCATCTCAACTTGCTGATGCTGCGGCTGCTGCTGCTGCGTCTGTTGCTGCTGGGAGGCATGGTGGGCCACCAGATGATGTTGGTGCTGACTGGGCTGCGGGGCCAGCGTCAAGGTAGCCGTAGCCTGAGGACTGGCATAAGATACCTGCGGTGTGCTCGCGCCGCTAGAGGAAGCCAAATGATAGTGCTGCTGCTGTGATTGTCCCTGTCCCTGTTGTTGTTGCTGTTGCTGCTGCTGCTGCTGGGCCTGAAGATGGTGGCCATGTGTGGTCAGACCCTGGGCCTGGGTGCTGTAGTGGTGGTGGGTGGCCACTGCACCTCCATAGCTCTTGTCCAGGTTCTTCTGCATGCCACCTGCCATTGGATTGTAGGGATGAGAAGAGGGTCAACGTTAAGGGGTTGCGATAAACTCTTACCCTTCCAATTATTACTCTTGATGGTATTATAGTGGCGATTGGAATTGTTCACCTGCCCCGTTGCCTGCTGCTGCTGTTGGACTTGGACATGGGCGGAGCTGGTCGGTTGCTGCACCTGCTGCTGCTGTAGTTGCTGGTGAACCGGCTGTTGCTGGGCCTGCTGCAGCGAAGCCTGATGCAGTGGATCCACAATATTTGCCGGCACCACGCTCACCATGCCACCAGGAATACCCCCCGCTAGCTGGATGGGCACAATACTCCCGCTCTGGATATGGGATGGAGTCTGTGTATTGCGCGGGGGTTTGCTCCGGGGCTCGCCGCGTGGTCCCGAGTTGCCGCCACCTCCCATATTGTTGGGATTGCCGCGGTGACTATTGTTGTAGCGGCCGCCACCACCACCCTGCGGTTTGGATGTGACAATCGTTTGTGCGGTGGGTGGAGGTGCGGCGGCAAAGCTGGCTACAGCCTGCGGAGCCAATGCATTGGCGGCATAGATATTGCCACCAATCTCATAGAAGTTCTGGCCATGCCCGGCAGTGGTCACAGTGCCGGGTGGCCATGGACCAGCCATCAAACCGGGATAGAATTGATTCTGTTGAATCGGCTGCAGAGAGAGGGAGAACATGAGTATCATACCATCTCAGATGTATGTCAAAGAGTTTTGATTACTTACAATCACTACCGGATTATTGTAGGGAACAGAGGCGGGGCCAAGGACTGCCCCATTGGTGGTATACAAGTATCGCTGTGGGGCGGACGCATAGCTGACAGCGGCAGCCCCAGCCCCGGAAGGATCATACACTGCGGCAGTCGGTGGCGATGTGAGACGGTAGCCGTTCTTAATATTTGGTACAGCTTGTATTCTATTGATAAACGATTTGGGCTTGATGCGGGCCATAATGGGCTTGCCCTGAAACTCCTTGATCTCCTCGCGCAGATACTTGAAGGCCTTTTGCGCATCCTCGTCCGACTCAAATGTGATGTACCACGAATTGTTGGCAGCAAATTCGCAGGATATTGGCCTCGGGCAGTTCTCATTGCTGAAAAGAGCCTGCAGCAGAAGGAAATCGAATTAGCATTTGAGTACAGGAAATGAGAAGGAGGAGGTGCTGAGCTAAGCTGATGGCAAACCTTGACGTCATCGAGGGGAGTGTTGTTGGATATCTCGCGTAGTATGATGATGCAACGCTTGCGATTGGGACGCACGCGCAGGCCCTCGTCATCCACCTGAACGTTGGGCGACTCACGCAGCACCTCAGTAATAAGTTTGATGTCCTTGCTTAGTTTCCTAACAAGATTAAATCTGGCCACAGTCCATATGGGCACATATTGGTCGCTATCCATCTGCGACAGCAGGTAAGTATCATTCGCCAGATTCTCTCTATGGAAGCGACAGGGAAAGAGAAATAGTCAGAGGGAGAACAATCTTTGGATTAACCATAAATAAATATACCTTGAAAAGTAGTACTCAAGCTGAGTAGCCAGCATTTGCTTAAGCTTGTCCATCGGTAGATTCGGATCGTCTCCAGCTGGGACATTGGGGTTGTTACCCTGCTGTGGCTGTAGCTGCTGCTGCAGCTCTGGGTTCTGGGTGGGCAGCGGTCCATTGGCAGGCACTGGGACCGGTAGCTGAACGGGAACAGGAACCTGAACCGGCACTACAATGTGTTGGGGTTGCGGCTCAATTGCAACTAAATTCGTATTATTAACACCAGGTACCAGGGCATCGGTTGTGTAGCAGACGACGGTGCCATCTTGGGTCTGGCCAATTGCCCCATTCATGATGGCGAATTCTGGATTATCGATGCTCTCAGCAGCGGCACCAGCAACGGCAGCGCCTCCTCCTACAACCACTCCGGAGTTAGCCACGCCTTGTGCCTGTGGCGGCGGAGGCGGATGTCCGTATTGCAAATGCTGTGCGGGATGAGCCTGAATGGTCTGAGGAGACTGTTGCTGCTGTTGTTGCTGCTGCTGCTGGTGTTGTTGGTGGGTGTGTGTATGAGCAATAATCTGCTGCTGGTGTGGATGAGGCTGCTGCACCTGAACCTGCACCTGCTGTGGATGCTGATGTGAAAGCGGAGCGGTCTGTGGCGCTGCCACGGCTGCGACTGTAGCGGGGGCAGCGGCTGCTGGGGCGGCTGTGATCAATGGTATGTGGGCTGCTGCGTTTGGGGCTGCGATCTGTGTTGTGGTGCCGAATAAGTTGGTAGCTAACATTGCCGTTTCGACAGGAACATTGGCGTAGACCGGCGGCTGGATCTTGACTGCATCTGCATTCATATAGACATATCCTCCTGCAATTAAACAAGAGCAAACGTGTGCATGCATTAGTTTCTGTGTGTGCGTTCAAGTGAAGTTTATAAACAAGGTCATTTGTTGTTGTTGCAGACGTAATGGGAAACTTTCGTAATCGGACGACGCCAGTGACGTGACGTGACGCTAGGAAAATGCTTAGAAAACTCTCCCAGCCAAACCAGATTTTATATTATAAACAAATAAATTTAATGCCAGCATAGCCACAGATGGACGAGCTGTGCTGCCCCTGCTTATCTGGTGCCAGTGCCAGTGGCTGCCACCGTCCCCAAAATCAAAACTTCTGCCTCACCTTAAGGCGTTGCGAGAGCAGCAACTTATGCGTGTTCTTCTTCAACCCACTGTACGTACTCTCTATTCGCACACAAGTGCAGCAGCAGCCGTGGACGCAGTGTGGGGGTGAGGGTTTGGGTTTGCGTTAGATGGCAGGCATATGTGTTTGTTTTTGACATCTGAAAATAATATTACTACTAACCTAGGTAATATTCCATGGTAACGTATGTTGAAATTATCCGGAAATTCCACACAAAGACACAGTCGGTTTGCTTTTAAATATATTTTTTCCTCCTCTTTCGAACAAACGGAACGCCTCAACACTTACTCGCAACACTCACACACACACACAGTCAAACGCGGCACACTCACACACACATACACACACACACACACAGCATATACACACGCACACAGTGGCAGTCGTGTTGCCACCCAGTCGAGGAGGCTTTTCGATTTGGAAAATTTGATTTTCACTTTGATATTCTTATTGCATGAAACTTGATTACAATGCGATGCGAACAATCAAAGGCAGGCAATCAAAGCTGCAACACACTTCTTTTCGCTGTTTCGCTATTTATTTATACTACTGCTGCTGCGGCTGCTCCTCCTCCCCTGTTCCTGTACATTTTCTTCAACTTCTACGCGACCGTTGTCGTCGTCGTCGTTTAATTTTCCGTGGCCTGGTGGTATGAATGACTTAATTTTGTTTCTTTTTCTGTGGCTATTTTCGCTTTCCTTTCTATTCTTTTTCTTCCCCGCTGCTGACTTTTTTCGTCTTCGTTTTTTCGTAGTTTTTTTTTTTTTTGCACACGCAGAGAATAAAATTGAAATTGGTCGAGAGGCTTTGAGGCAATTGATTTTTTACTTTATTTCACACCCAATTTGCACCGACACCGAGCCGACAGAGTAGCACAACAAATTTTGTATTGCTTGCAAATGTTCTAAATAATAAATTGTTCTTTTTAGTTTTTTTCACAACGAACTTGTCACGCGAAAAATCCAAAAATTCACTTCTCATCGTCATAGAAAACTTTCGCCGTTCCTCTGTCACCGTTTCGATAGGCTCCCGAAATCTGCACGGTTGCATGCGATAAATATATAAAATATGTGAATCGGGATCGTAATGGGAATGATGGAATAGAGACCTAGAACTTAATTTTGCAAAACGAAAACACTAACTATATAGCATTAAGATGTACATATTAATACAAGCGAAACGTCCCAACAGAATTGGCTGCGACAGCCCCCAGAGCCGAACAGCCTCTGGGAGCTGTCAGCTTTGGCTGGGAGTGAGTTTTTTGATACATAATATAAGGGGACATTTAACTGGGTATGAAATGGGTCTGTACAGATTTTTGTGTCATGCATGCGCATCAAATTTGAAATTATTTGTATCAAGCAGGGTATGTGAGCCCAGTATGGTTGGTGGCGAAAAGTAGCCCATTCCCCCTTCCCCATAAAACAAAAAGATAAATAATATTCTTGTGCACTTGTACTTACGCCGCTCAACGTTTGTTCTATCACCCTCCAGTTAACTATTTCCTGCGGCTACAATATCAAAATTGTAAAACCACTTGTTATGTGTTCTAGTGGCACGGCACAGTGGCGTTCCGCGGTACACTACACGTAGTACGTACACTACGCTACACTGAAATCCACGTTTTTCCAACTATTTATTAAACTCGGCACGAAAACTTGTGCATTTGATGGTGCAGATCAAATTGCTGCATTGAGAGATTGCAGCAAACTTTTTTTAACCAGCAAAAGCAATAAAACACGCAAAAAGCAGCCCACTCGGTCGTGTTAAGTGTATATAATATATAATATTGACATATCAATATATCGATATATATATGCAGGTGATATTTTTTGTAGACTGTCGAAAATGTATTAATATGTATAATTTTGTGGGATATATAATTAATGCAAGCTACTCTTCTTAATTTTGAGCAAATTTACTCTATTTTTTTGTTCTTTTACTTCTTTAAATAAAATATCCGCGACTTTTTATTCTACTTATCGATACACAGGGCTGATTGCAAAAAACTATCGGTACTTTTGTGCGATAGGCGGCGCTTAAATATAAAATTTAATTATACCCTTTTATTGTCTCGGTTATAATTGTGCCCAAAATAAAGCAATTACAGATTATGTCCCATTTTACTATGCAACCTCCGTTTATTTAAATTGAACATTTAATTTATTTATAACATCTTTCTCAGTTAATGGTCTATTGCTTCTGTCTTTGTGTTAATGTTCTATCAAGATTGTTTTAATATAATTTGAACGAAGAAGAACTTCTGCAAGTTGAATGTAGCTTAAGAATGAAATATTTGTTGTTCCTTGGCATCCGCTTAAAAGCCGTGCACCTTCAGCTGGTCTGGTTTGGCTAATCCAACCTTGGTCAACCATTGACAGATGTTCTCACGTTGATCGCCCTGCAGCTGCAGAACTTCACCATACTCCGGATGCTCGATCACAGTTCCATTGCAGGCAAATTCCTGTGAATGCGAAAACAGATCGATCAGTTACATGGCCTCTCAGGAAAGTTGGCCAACAGCCAGGCCAGCCAGGGCACTTACCTTTTTACAGGAGCGGACTATTTTCTTCAAGTCATACTCCGCGGACAGGCCCTGGACAGTGGTTAGCGTCTTGCGACCGTTCCTCTGCTGGATTCTTATGTGCACAAGCCCGTCTTGAATGTCATCATCATTGCCCTTGATTGCATCAGCAAAGGGGTCTGCAAAAGACAAAAACACAATATGCCCTTAGCATCTCATTGGAATCTCTGTATTTGTAATCACACCCTCTCGCAGCGTGCTGTTGTGCCCTTAAAATCGCCTGCGTGCATTTGCGTATGCATGTGTGTATGCGTGTGAGGCCGATGACTAGACCACGAGCAGCCATTTTTATGTACATGTGTAAATGTACATGAGCGCTGCGACTGCGAGTGCGTGCTGGCTGTGTTCTGGGTGTATCTTCTACTTACCACGAGTGTTTAAATTCTGGATGGACATACGACAATAAAAATAAACCACAGCCTAAACAAAAACTTTTTGATGTGATCTGTTGATGTAAAATTTAAGATTTTACTGAATGATTTTTCGGAAGCGTGTTTGTTAGAGGTGTCAAACCATGGAGAGCACTATCGATAGTATCGAGATTTTCCTGCTAGCCTCTACTATCGATGGTTTTGAGACTATCATGATAGTATCGAGCTACAGTCGATGCGCTTTTAATATGTTTGGATTGTCTGCTATAAGATACGAAGACACATTTGTAAACAAATCGACAGGTGGCATCTAATTTTTACAATGGACAAGTTCCTAAAAGGTTTCAATGGTTTTTTAATAATTATTAGAGCTATCACGAGAGTATCGATTGTTTTTTCAAAACATTCAACGTTGATATTTCTCGATTTTGATGTTCCGTTTAATATTACTAGCTAGCTGGGACTCTCAGCCCTAAACAAATAATTTTATCCAGTTCCTCAATGAATTTTGTTTAGGATTGGTTAGTTTTTAGAAGTCCTTTTTATTGGATTATTTACATATTAAGGTTAAAACAAAAACAACATAAAACTAATGTGTCATCATTTTGTGGCGCTGGCAGACTCGTGATATTTTGTGATATGAAATTCGTCAATTTTGATATTCAGTTTAATATTACTATATAGATGGCCCTGTCAGCACTAAAAAAATAGTTTTATTCAATTCCTCAATAAATATTGTTTAGGATTGGGTAGTTTTCAGAACTGAATGTGACGTCAGTGTTGCTGGTCAACCAAGTTTCTTGTATGCGTATGTACTTTTGTATACCTTATTTCTTTTAATTGATGCTAATTTTGTTGTTCCAAGCTCCATTGAAACATTATTTATGATTTTATCCTAGATTGACATGTTTTTTACCTATTAATGTGTTTTGTTTTATATATATACATTTATCCCGGTTCTGATACCTATTATTGGTACCCGTGAGCTAAAAAATTTCGTTGATGTCTTAAAAAAAAAAGACTCACTATTTTCGGCATTAATTGGAGCCTGAAATTACAAACAATATCTCAAGTTAATAATATTCATTTTCCCAAGGTATGCAGATTGTTGCTCATTCCGTGCCAAAGTTGCACAACAATGCTGCTAATTCATTTCCCCATGTTGCAACATGCTGCCACACCACGAAAATGAGGGGAAAGTCTCCACAAAAACACTCTATTCTCCACGAATTGAGAGCAAATTTTGAAAACTCTCCACGAATTGAGAGCGAGTTTTGCAAACTCTCCACGAATTGAGAGCGAAAAATGTCAGTATTTTTGGTGCGCTAACTTGAGTTTGGCGGTCAATTTGAAATGTGTCTTAATATAGTGAAAACAATTTTTATATTATTTTAAGACTGATATTTTGAGAGTATGAATAAACTTGTTTAATCTTGAACAATCTTTGTATTATTTCGCTTAAAAAATAGCGTTTAACAGCATTTCTTAGTAATAATTATTTGAGCCCGATACGATCACGATAGTATCGATTGTGTTTTCAAAACATTCACGACACTTATCGACTGCCACCGGTCGGGGCTGCCAACTTGACCAACTATCGTTGTGAAAGTCTATGCCCAAAATGCAACCCTGCTATTTAATCGCAGCCAACTTTGCTCTGTGCCGCAGCTGCCATATCTCTTTCCTGCTTGTCTTTCAACGAGAAAAGGTGGGCACTTTGCATTTTGTCTTGATTTGGTTAAGTTCTAGCTTCTACAGCATTGTGAATAGCATGTAGCTGTGAAACATTTATTTTGTGACATGGGTGTACCACGTGTTTTAGTCAAAATGGCAGCCAGCTCGAAATATTTCGGAGGTAAATTTTGGTATTACCCACACGTGTGCAGCGCGCTGATTTATTGACCCGAAATGTGTGAAAAGAGTGGCTGAGTTGCTTCATCATGGCGGCCGGGGAACGTAACCCATGCCGGGACTACTTTTATGTTTCCCACCACAATAACTTAACTAAACGTTTATTAAGTGTGCTTAGTCCGTATTCAAGTCTAACATCGAATTTCTTTCTCTTTCACGCTGCGTGGGCCCGGCCGACATAATGTTGATACACACACACACACAAGGTGAGAGCACATGTTGTAGTTGCAAGGGAGTCTAAATTACATGATGAATGATTTAACGGAAGAGTTCTTGAAGACTATATTCATCACCCAATCCTGAAGTTATTCATTAAACTTACCAAATTTTGTACATATTGCACCGAGGTTAAACTTCTTTTCTCTTTTCTTTCATGATTCCGTGCTCTGGTTTGATGACTGGTCGCATTGCTAATAAAGGTAAGCATTGTTCTTCAGTTGGGTGCCTTGAGTATCCCTTCCGTGATGAATGATCTAGCAGAAGAGTTCTTGAAGACTATATTCATCACCCAATTCTGAAATCATGTATTCATAATACCTGCGCTTTAGCCATGGCATCGATTTTATAATGTATTTCTCTTCTCTTTCATAATGTTCCCTTCCGGTTTGATGTCTGGCGGCTGCATTCTCGATAAAGGTAAGCATATAGTTATTTTCTCAAGCGCAGAAGTTTTTCTATCATGATGAATGATTTAGCAGAAGAGTTCTTGAAGACTATATTCATCACCCAATCCTGAATACTCAATCCAACCTTAAGCTATAGGAACTTTTGTAAACTCTTCTAACCGAATTCCCTTTCATTCTACTTGCAGACTTGAGATGGCAACCTCTTCGCACCTCAATTGGTTGATCATTCGCAACAACAACGCCTTCTTGCTGAAGAAGCGCGATGTGAACAAACCCTTCAGCACAGTAAGTGGTGTCCCCCCACCTAAATAGTATCCGATTTGTTCTATGATGTTTCCAACTTACAAACTTTCACAATGATATTTGAATACAACTTGATAGTAACCTTAATCTGACAAAGTTGGCTTCACCATTGAATGCGTCCGTGTGTGGCACATGTATTAATTGTTTATTGCACTTTTCCAGGAGCCAAACAACTTGGCCTCTGTCAGCTCGTACCGCTACAGCGGCATCGTGCACAAGAAGACCCTTGGCGTCGTTCCTGCTGCCGATAAGAAGGGCTTCACCGCCGTGCTGAAGAAGGGCAAATATGCCCAGCGTCCCGCCAAGAACACAGTGCGTGTCGACTTCAAGGCTGGTCCCCGACGCTCCCTGAAAAAGCTGAAGAACCTGTTGATCGGCTCCAAGTACCGCAAGGATCTGACACAGGTAATTTCTGAAATAATTTGGCAATCCCACTGAACTATCCCTGATATGATGATCCTTATTTTAATGCTACATACCAAGATCGCAGAATGATCGTGTTGAAAAAATTGTCTGAAGCTCTATTAGCTCTCTATTATTTGTAGATAATTGTATTTTTCGATATTAAATTGTGTTTTCTATAATTCTAAATTTTAGGCTGCTCTTCGCCGCGCCTCCGCTGTACTGCGTTCCCAGAAGCCTCTTCCCACCAAGGGAAAGAAGGCCGAACTTACCAAGGGAAAGAAGCCCGAATAAAATGTACCATGGGATCATGCGGAGCTGTTTTCTACTCGAGAATAAAGAAAAGATGTTAAAAACCTAATTGTTATTCGCTAATTATGTCGTGGGATATTATAATATTATGGTGGGGTGTAGGAAAATTGGAAAATTAATCTTTACAAAGGTCGTCGTACGCCTCTTAGTCTCCCCATTGACCAGAATTTTGAGCACAAGAGATAACAATGATTTTTTGTTTTGTTGTATATGCTTGAATCGCATGACCTCTTCAGTAACAGCAAGAAGACGGGTTTTACAATGAAAGAGACCATTTTATTGCGTTGAAAGTACAGAATGTTATAAATCAGAATGAGGCAGAGTCGTCAATAAATAAAGATTAAATCAAAGACAATACATACACATATTGATATACATATTTACGTTATACAATGTTTTTAAATGCTTGTTGAGCCGTTCTACTTAATTATAATCGAGTACACATACACGCACTTTAATAGAAATATTCATATTTCTGAGCATGATGCAACATGATCTCCATGGACTTTTTGCCCTGCATTACGCCATTCCGTTCCATGTAGTTCCAAATGGAAGCCATGAACACACAGAACAAGATGACTCCGAAGACTATAAACTTGAGCAGCAAGAAAATCGTTCGCATTCCTCCCGGGGCCGTGAACTCGACAAGCAGAACGAGTAGGACAAAGAGGAAGGTGGCTGCGCTGTAGTAGAGTATCCGATCGGTGTTCAATTGCAGCAGGGAAGCATCGCAAAGGGACAGGGCTTCCTGGAGAGCAGCGGTTCTGGCCGCAGGAAGGGGCTGGATGGAAGAGCAGCTTTTATCTGGACTCCTTATGGAACTGCCATTGCAATTGACAGGAGATGCATCAGCCGTCGGGGGAATGGCAGGCGCAGGTCCATCTCCTCCTCCTTGCTCACGGGATGGACATGTTTCTTCCACCACTTCGCAGTTAACTTCAATCGTCGCCACTGCTGCTGCGTCGCTTGCTGCCCCAGGATCTGTTGGAATGGTGCGGGATAGCTTCAGCTTTGCCAATACAGCTTCGTGATCCGAGAAGCTAAACTTTTGACCAGGCACACGGTCTGGAAAGGGTAGAGTGTACTCGACAATCTCAGCGTTTATATTATCGCCTCCGCGCACAAAGATGTGGTCTATGCGTATGCCCCGCGGATTCCTAGACAGTGCCCTCGTCGAGGTGTAGGAATTTGTTTCGCACTCATTTGTGCGAAAGGTGTCCGACGCGCAGCTGTCCAACATTTTGGAGGTGTACAACAGCACCTTATACGATATGTCTTGTGGTTGGGCATTCAAATCTCCGGCCAAGATCTGAAGCACCGAGTTGCCCCGGGTTGCCTCGATAAACTGAGCGGTATCAAAGGCTTGGATAACCCGGTGAGTCTTGTATTCATCATTGTCATTGTCATACTCGGCATGCAGATGTGCATTATAGAGGTGCACCATCTGGTTGCCAATTAAGATGCGGCATAGACCGACACCCTTGCCGCCGAACCAATCCGCGTGCTGAATGCGATGGAAATAGCCATTCACGGACCAGGCGTGGAACAGAGTCCCCAGAATGGGATACTTGGAAAGCACGAGGAGGCCGGCGCCCATTACGCCACTGTGGAAGTAGTGGGCATAGGGCAGAACACTGGACGTCTTCTCCTGCAACTGCTCGCTGTCATGTTGAGCCCACACCTCCTGAAGCGACACGATATCATACTTTCCGCTGCTCAGTTCTTTGCAAATGGCCTCGAGACGCGGCCCCCGATCACTTGACACATATGGAATGCCCCTACAATTGTGAATTGAAGTTGTGATTAGATTTGAGCCCAGTGCGTCACCTGTCACTCACCATATGTTCAGGGTTAAAATGTTCAGCTCCAGCAGCAGCATCTTGCTTTAGTCTTATATGGCCGCGCTGTACGTTGGCATACTTACAAATAATTCGATCGCAGAGCTAAAAGTAAAAGATAAACAATTAAATATGACCCCAGAAATATACCGAAAAATACCTTGTCATTACCAAAATATACCGTAAATATACTGACAAAATGCGTTGATATTTCTCGTTTTTGATATTCGGTTTAATATTACTAGCTAGCTGGGACTCTCAGCCCTACACAAAAAATTTTATCCGATAGATACATAAATTTTGTTCAGGATTGGCAAGTTTTCAGAAGTCTTTTTTATTGGATGAGTTACATATTAAGGTTCAAACAAAAACAACATAAAACGAATGTGACGTCGTTTTGTGGCGCTGCCAGACTCGTGTAATTCGTAGTTGCTGCGGGCTGCCATACCATGATATTTTGTGATATGAAATTCGTCAATTTTGATATTCAGTTTAATATTACTAGATAGTTGGCCCTGTCAGACCTAAACGAATAATTTTAGCCGATAGATACATCAATTTTCTACAAGACTGGCTAGTTTTTAGAACGCTTTATTATTGGATTATTTACATATTAAGGTTCAAACAAAAACAATATAATACGAATGTGACGTCGTTTTGTGGCGCTGCCAGACTCGTGTATTTCGTAGTTGCTGCGGGCTGCCATACCATGATATTTTGCGATATGAAATTCGTCAATTTTGATATTCAGTTTAATATTACTAGATAGTTGGCCCTGTCAGACCTAAACGAATAATTTTAGCCGATAGATACATCAATTTTCTAGAAGACTGGCTAGTTTTTAGAACGCTTTATTATTGGATTATTTACATATTAAGGTTCAAACAAAAACAATATAATACGAATGTGACGTCGTTTTGTGGCGCTGCCAGACTCGTGTAATTCGTAGTTGCTGCGGGCTGCCATACCATGATATTTTGTGATATGAAATTCGTCAATTTTGATATTCCGTGTAATATTGTTAGCTAGTTGGCGCATTCAGCTTTAAACAAGTAATTTTATTCTACTCCTCAATGAATTTTGTTTAGGATTGGCTAGTTTTCAGAACTATTTTTAATGGGATTGTTTAGATAATAGGATTCAAACAAAAACGGCCAAAGCATAAAACGTAAATGTTGACTAAATGTGACGTCAGTGTTGCCTGGTCAACCAAGTTTCTTCTATGCGTATGTACTTTTGTATACCTTATTTCCAAGTTCCAAGCTCCATTGAAACATTATTTATGATTTTATCCTAGGTTGACATGTTTTTTACGTTTTAATGCACATATTTGTGTTTTATATATACATTTATCCCGGTTCTGATACCTATTATTGGAACCCGTGAGCTGCCATATAACGGCAGAAAACTATAATTTCGTATCAGTCAGCCTTTGTCAGAGAGCATTTACAATTTTTTTTACTTTCATATCAGTCAGCTCTTGTCAATGAGCAATATTTTGTTCAGTGGCGCCATTTGCGCTGAACTAGTGAACTACTACTACTGCCGCCGAACCAATCCGCGTGCTGAATGCGATGGAAATAGCCATTCGAACATTTTAATGACAGCGGCAAGTATTTGGCGTCGATATGCTTCCCGTCACAATGGAATTTCTGCGGTTACTATGGATTGGAAATTATTTACAAACGAATGCTAGCTAAATGGTAGAATATTGGAAGTGGAAGTGGTTTTTGTATTTGATAATAATAGCTACATTGGCTAATGAAAATGTAGTCTTATTTCAGAACATAAAAAACTTATTTTTAATAATTCGTTTACAAAATAATAGCTTAATTGTTTCACTGAAAATGTAGTCTTATTTTCGAACATAAAAAACTTATTTTTAATAATTTTTAATAATAATAATAACAGAACAACATTTTTAATAATTTTTAATAATAATAACAACTAAACAATAGCTTCGTTGGCTTGTTTAAAATTTAGTGTTCTTAAAATATATTGTCATTGTTCTATGTCGTTGTTTTTGCAGTCGTTGCAAAATATATTCGTTTCGCTGGAAAAAAGTAAAATTAGATTGTATGTGAGTGGATGAAAGGTAAATACTTACAATATATCTTTGCTTAAAAAGCAGTAATAACAAATCAAAATGTTGCAGCTGGAGCACGCTCTGCTGCATTCAATGCATACATTTTCTTTTTTGCAGTCCTTGTATTTGCATGTGTCTCCATTGCAGCATATTGATTTTGTCGGAATTGCGTCAGTTTCGGTTTTTTTTTTTCATTGCTTTTTAAAGGCGTCTCCGTCTTTTTTTTTTTTTTTTTTTTGTCATATTTTGCTTTCTGGTATGATTCATAAAAATTTGGGGTTTGTCTGCCCTTTGATATCCATGTTCTTCTTATCTCACCCGGGAACAGTTTTATAAGTTCATCAAGCAGTTGGCTTGCTTGTGTTCCTGTCATTAATAGCTCATTATTGGAATAATACTTCATTATTTCCCTTCTTATTGTTTTGCGGTCCTGGTCAGTAAGAGGTGTATTCTGTTTACGTTTGTTCAGAATTTTTATTTGGGAGGTTTTTATGAGTATTCCCAAAGTTGTTACAACAACGGATGTAGGTGGCACTGGGGAAATACTTTTACTTTTATTAAATTTAGTGTTATTGGCATCCCAATTGTCTTCTATTTCCGATTCTGTCTCAAAATTTAGCCGTGGCGGTACCTGCGTCTGTGATGCCGGTGATGCTGGTGATGGTGGCGATGGTGGTGATGGTGGCGATGCCGGGGATGGTGGGTATGGTGGGGATGGCGGGGATGCCGGTGATGCCGGTAATGGTGGTGATGGTGGTGATGGTGGCGATGGTGGTGATGGTGGGGATGGCGGGCATTGTGGCGATGTTGTTTTTTTTCTTTTTTTGCTTTGTGGAGGGGAATCGGTAACCCACTCCCATGCTGGGATCTGACATAATATACAAGGAAATAAGCAAAGTAGTGAAGAGGATCGAATCCATGGACATGGGCAAAAATTTGTTGGCAATTATTTGCGATGGCTGCTGTGCCAACAACTTAGCCGTATGCTTTGTCGGAATGAAGTATCCTGTCTTGTTGGACATAACCCACCTGACAAAATTGTTCTCTGGAAACAAGATTTCACCATTCACCGATCGAATTCTTAAACAGCTGTACGACGCAACTTTTACCGTTGAAAACTGGAGGGAAATATTTCGTAACTTGCCAAGCTTGGACACAGTTCCCATGAAATTTCAAACGTTTTACCCGTCAGAACTGACGAATTTGGTGGAAAGATACTATTCATACCCTCGTGAAACTGGAATGGCATTGCAATTAAACAAGGCTAACTGTAACCATTTAGAGACAACTGGTTCAGTTATAAAAATACTTGCTGGCAATATTATAAATTTCGCATTTCACATGGGTGAAGAAACTGAATTTCAAGAGGATGCCCTACTTTATACCACCCGGCTTGTGGGAGCTCTGGCACATGAAATGTCTGAAAATAATATTTAAATATGAGAATCAATTCTTTTTCGTCCATTTTCCTGACGTCTTGCTTAATTCTGTTGATTTTCAAAAATTTGTGTATCTTTCCTTGTCATCAAACACCCAAATCCAAATTCAAGACGCACGTCTTCCAATGTAAACGCCTTTTCTGCTTCATTGCGTCTATGCCGATATCGATAGCAGACGCGCCCAGTGTAAAAAGGCTATTATTTTCGAACATAAAAAACTTATTTTTAATAATTTTTAATAATAATAATATCAGAACAATAGCTTCGTTGGCTTGTTTAAAATTTAGTGTTCTTAAAATATATTGTCATTGTTCTATGTCGTTGTTTTTGCAGTCGTTGCAAAATATATTCGTTTCGCTGGAAAAAAGTAAAATTAGATTGTATGTGAGTGGATGAAAGGTAAATACTTACAATATATCTTTGCTTAAAAAGCAGTAATAACAAATCAAAATGTTGCAGCTGAGGCACGCTCTGCTGCATTCAATGCATACATTTTCTTTTTTGCAGTCCTTGTATTTGCATGTGTCTCCATTGCAGCATATTGATTTTGTCGGAATTGCGTCAGTTTCGGTTTTTTTTTTCATTGCTTTTTAAAGGCGTCTCCGTCTTTTTTTTTTGTTTTCTGATTTTGTCATATTTCGCTTTCCGGTATGATTCATAAAAATTTGGGGTTTGTCTGCCCTTTGATATCCATCTTTCTCTTATTTCATTCGGGAAAAGTTTTATGATTTCGTCAAGCAGCTGGTTTGCTTGCGTTCTTGTCATTTGTAAATCATTTTTGCAAAAATATATCATTATTACCAGCCTTATTGTACGGCGGTCCTGGTCTGTTAGCGGCGTATTCTGTTTTCGTTTCTTCAGAATTTTTATTTGGGAGGTTTTTATTAGAATTCCCATAGTTGTTAGAACAACGGATGTAGGTAGCACTGGCGAAACACTTTTACTTTTATTAAATTGATTGGTCTTTGCGTCCCAATTGTCGTCCATTTCGGACTCAGAGTCAAAATACAGGCGTCTTGCTGTTTGTGGCGTACGTACTCGTACCGGCGTCTCCTGTGATGACGATGACTGTGGTGGGGATGGTGGGGATGGCGGGGATGCCGGTGATGCCGGTGATGGTGGTGATGGTGGTGATGGTGGCGATGGTGGTGATGGTGGCGATGGCGTGTATGGCGGGCAGTGTGGCGATGTTGTTTTTTTTTCTTTTTTTGCTTTGTGGAGGGGAATCGGTATCCCACTCCCATACAGTGCTGCCAACTTTTCATCAGGAAAAAAGCCATTTCTGACTTGTACAAGACACAAAAAAAGCTGAAAAACTACAGAAAAAAGCCAAAAAAAAGCGTAATTTTTGGGTTTACCAATTTTTTTATTTCTGTAGTATTTTATAGGGTTTTTACTGTAAGACCGCCATTAATTCGTCTAACTCAGCGTAATTGTCTTCAGGCTCGCAATCGTACGACTTGGTCGTACCAATCAAGCGAAGATAATTTTTGGGCACATCATAATCGAAACCGCATTTTCCCAGTCTTCGTAGTTTTGTGACGCTGATATCTGTTGATTCGTCGAGTAAGAGACTGAATTTGGAGTCCCCAAT